TTTGCTTTTTCCAGTGTTGGTCCAAAGGCGAAAGCTTTCGAGGGTTGTTGAATCATTCGGTGCTTTGGTTCTTCTTTAGTTGAATCAATTTTGGCCCAAACGCGGAACATAAAGTTTAGTTGAAGATTAGGTAATTAATTTGTTTGATCTTCAATAAGGTTTTTGTTTACCCTCATAATCGGATAACAATTGATTTATACGTGATTTTAAGGATACGTGATATACCTTAATACAAATTAAGAAAACAAATTAATATTGAAATTGATGATTAGAGAATAAATGCAAATCACACAAATTGAACATCCTTGATCTTTGAGTTTTATCAACCTCGAACCAAGAAATGCATCAACTGACGTAAGAACAGAATAACAAGATGATAAGAGTTGGAAATAACAGTGTATTACTTTTTGCTGCGTATTACAATGTGTTTTACAAATGATCAAACCTCCCTTTATATAGGAGAGGAGTCCTATTCTTGATACAATTCTATAAAAGGTAACCAATCTCACGATTTGCTAATTAATCGGCCTCTCCTTGATACGTGCTGAGATTTCTGCCGTGATCTCCAACCGATCCCGGATATTTTTGCCCTTGTTATTTGGCTCGACAAAGTCCCCTCGATCTTGTTCGATCCTGGAGTTACGAGCTCAATGATTTAACTTCGTGCCTTGGTTTGATATAACCCGGGCTCGAGCTCTGACCTATCACCTTTTAGCCTCGACTAGTCATACAATGGACGAATCTGGTTTTGACAGTATACAGATAGTCCCCTCGCTTTTCGGAGAGAAGATGATGAGAAACGATATGAACTTCCGAACCCCGCTTCAATAGATCATGACATAAGCGACAAAAGGTTACTGAAATGTCCCGTCGGTCCAGTCTCTATGGCATTAAATGCGTGTCAGTTGTTGGTCGTCCACTACGAGTTTTGAAACATCATTATCAATCTATAAATATCCCAACTTTCATTCATTCAAACTTTATGTTCAAAGCTTCTTCTACTCTTATTCTTCAAAAATCTCTTAGCTCTCCAACTTTTGTACCCAGATTTCATGAACCTTTTGCAAACCACTAAGTATAACTTCTTAATTTCCTCTTCTTCATCTCTGCTTTAAAATGGCGAAAAATTCTAAGACTGTTCTTCAAAAGGAGACGGCCTCTTTATCACGACCTACCTGTGACGAGACTAAGGCGGAACCATACCCTGAAAACTTCATTCCTGGAGGGTGCTTGACCGGTGCCGATTTCAAGGTCGAAAAAACTTCCTCGGTACCGGGTCGATGCGAGCCGGCCTCGAGATATATATGTTCGATCACCGATGATCTCCTCTCCAAGGTTAAAGAGGATTGAAACTAGACCGATAAGCACGTGGTGGTGCTTTCACCTGAGAAAACAATTATTTACCCACGTGGAGAATTTCTTTAACTGTTTACACTTACCCCTTCACATTAGGCCCCTTAGACCCCGTCATTATCGCCTTCTGTAAGAGGTACGAGGTTACCCTCATTCAAATCCACCACTCCTTCTAGAGGATAGTGATTCTTCTCCGTTTTTTTTTGTAAACAAAATCGAGGGGTGTCCCTTCACCTTCGATCATCTTCTGCACCTGTACAGTCCCCAACTCTATCGAGGGGGATTAATCAAACTTGTTTGCCAGGATAGTAGGGCCCTGTTCTCGAGTATATATGAGGATCAAGACCGAGGATGGATGGGCTGATTCATTTGAGTGAAGACCTAAGACTTGATCCCTGCCGAGGACATGCCATTTTCCAAGAAATGGAACATGAAGCATAATTATAACTTCGCCTTAAAGATTTTATTTATTGTTTCTCCCCTTCCCTCCCTTCTTATCGCTATTTTAATGGTGCAGCTATGGCTCGGATGCCGGATGTAGTTCCTCGACTCAAGGAGTAGGTCGAGGACCTTATGTCACAGAGACCATATTACGACCGCGCATGGCGCAAACTACCAAAGAGTCGGTGGGAGGCCCGTAACCTTGGTAAATTTTCTTTTATGATTTAATAATGTTTCATTTTCTCCTTGCGTTGTCGAATCCTTATCGGTTCTGTATTCTTTTGTAGGTCTCCCCAAAGATGTTACTATAAGGCGTCCATCCGGTGATGAGGATATGCCTCTCGAGTCCCTTGCTTTGAGGCATGGTGATGAGAAGAAAAGAAAAAAGGCCCCGAGTTCTCCGAACTCGGAAAAGAAAAAACCAAAGAGGAGGCCAGCGCATAAACTTCAAGGGAAGCACCGACGCTCTATCCTCGACTCAGTCCACCAACTAAGGGATGAGTCCGAAGAAGAAGAGAAATCCAAGCTGGTGGCCCACGTGCAGGCATGTGTCTTGATACGAGAGGCCTCCGAACCGCCAGGTGTTGAAATTGAACAATCTCGACTTGAGGAGGTCGATGGGAGAACTTTAGCAGAAGCTCCCGAACTAGAAGTGGGTGAGGCCACTTCACCTCAAGCTAGAGGGGTCAAGAGGGAAACCTGGGCTAATACTTCTCGAGCATAAGAAGATACCCCGAAAGATGTGCTTGAGGTGATTGACCTTACCAGGTCTCTTCTGTTCTCCGATTTCATGATCAACGAGGCCAGTATGCTAAAAGAGCAACCACACGAGGGGCCTCAGGGGGCAGCGTATATCAATCATTTCTTCGAAGGTTTAGAATCTACCGCTTTGGAGGACGTAACCGGGTTTGGTGACTTACTGGTGCCAAAGAAAGCACCATCTTTTGATGCCTGCGGATCTTCTTTGAGTCTGAAGTTAGTGGATCGGTCCCGGCTCCGATTGTTGATCCTGACCAAAAGCGGTCAATAATTATCTCTATCCCGGAAGATGCCCGGGTTCTTTCCGCCCCCGTGGGGTTGCTAACTATATTTGGTGCTTGATGACTGAAGAGGACAGGCCGATATGGACGCAGTGGAAGAACCCTGCCTGTTCAATGAAGCTCAATAGGTGTTGAATCGGGTAACTTTGAGTGTCTCTTAACTATGTACTATGGATTTTAAGTTGCAAACAATCGTAACACTCTTTGTTATGCTTGTAGGACTGGATACTTCATAATGAAACTTTCCTCCGATATTGGGAGGAGTTAACCCAACACGAGGTTGAGGTTCAGGAGCTTACTGAGAAGAGGGATACCTCCAAGCTTCTCAGTGCGAAACTTCAGGCCGAGTTGGAAGCGGCTCGGAAGGAGCACGCCGAATGGATCGAGTAGGTGAATCCAGTACTTGAAGATAGTGATGACAATTCAGACACAGTGACAACCAACCCGAACTTGCAGGTCCAAAAGAGGCTTGAACATATCGGGCAGCTGCAGGCATAGGTGGACACGATAAAAGCTGAGGCTGGGGAGTGGAAGAAAAGTATGGACCTTTTAGCCTCGGAAAAGGAAGCCGTCCAAGCACAATATCAACCAAGGCCCAGCTCCGAGCTATGGAGGAAAAGATATCGACCAGGCCAAAATAATCAAATAGATATGGTCTCAGCTGAGCTCGGCGGTCTCGAGCCAAGAAAACCTAGCCAGGTTAGAGATTGTTGAGGTCAAGGCCGAAGCTGATGAGAAGGTCGCCTAGTATAAGGTCGATGCCGAGGCAGCTCAGGATCAAGTGAAATATTTGGTGGAGCACATGAAGTGGCAATCCCGAAGCGAGGCCCTTGAAGAGTTCAAGCTCAAGGCTTCGACCTACTGGTTGAGATCGAAAATGCCAAGATATCTGAGGCCAAGGCCAGGAAACTGGCTTATCCCGAGGAGGGGGATTCCGAGGGGTCTGAAGACTCAGACGAGGTCGATGGTAATAGAGGCCTCGAGGATGAAGATACTGCCCCTGATGTGGACCAGGCCCCTTAGACCTTTAGATGTTTTTGTTTCTTATTTTTTGAAATTTTGTTGAGGCCGTTCGACCCTTGTAAAGTTTTATCGGGCTGTTTGGCCCTTGTAAAATGAATTTCATCATGAAAATATAAGGCTTTCTTTCCCTTTTTTAGCTTTCGAGTTTTTCTCTTTGCTTCCTCATTTATATTCACAAAGGCCGGAATGCCTTATCATAAAATAACTTAGGTTATGTTCGAAAGTTCAAACAAACCTCGCCTTTACATTACTCTATTTTAAGGCATCTTGAGGGTTTGGTGTTATCGGAAACTTTCTCCCAAAGTAAGTAATTTAGATTATAGTTTGCCGAGGGTAGCCTTTAGAACCGGTTATGAAAAATTTTCTTTTTTGAAAGCCTATCTTTTATTATGGATCTCGGACGTCTCTGAGCCTTGTTAGTATGGCCGTAGCCTTTTAGTTCGGGAGTCGCATAGTGGACTTGTTTTCCCGAGTTATCCGGGCTTGCCCAAGATAATAGTCTTCGAGTAGATATGGCCGTGGCCTTTAAAATTCGGGAATTGCCTGATAGGTCTTATGACCCTAAGATCTAGTGGCTCGGGCTGCCCGAGTTAATTTTTGGACGACGGTCCCCGAGTGAGGGAGTGATCATTCGAACTCCGCTTATAAGCGGTCCTTGAGCTCGTTACCTTCAAGAGATCGGAAGTTTGAAATTCCTCAAGGGATGTAAAGAAGAAAGTTTTAAAACATAAGATGATTGCAAGGAAGAAACTTCTCTTTATTCTTGTGTAAGATAGTAACACATGTATACATGCTTTGTGTTAGGGTTCGATCAATGCGGGCACGGTTCGTTTGACCATTTGTCCCTTACAATACATCCTATCGATCGATACCCTTCAGCTACTATTTCCTTGCTAACATCGGCATCCGAGGGTGATGCCCCCTAGTATTCGAGGTTGATTGTAGAGAAAACTCGGATACTATTAATGCCAGCTTTGACACCGATTCGTGATTGGTCCTTGATTCTAAGTTAGCAAGATCCACTGTTGCCTCGTTAAAATCCTTCCAAAAAAACCATTTGGGACAAAACCGGCTCGACGGAAAAAGAGTGCAATGCGTGCTTTCAGACCTAAAGACTTCGTGCCACTCCTTGTCGATCACCTGCAAGTGTTAGCCCAAAAAATAAAAGAAAATGAAGGGGTTCGTACCTTAGCACTAATATCGTTTTAGGTGAGTTACATTTCAATTGCTTGATTGTTGTTCCCCGTTAATCGTTCCGAGCTTATAGGATCCTTTCCCGGTGACCTCGAGAATTTGGTATGGTCCTTCCCAGTTTGGACCCAACTTTCCGTCGTTCAAGTTTCGGGTGTTTAATGTGACCTTCCTTAGTACTAAGTCCCCAATATTGAAATATCGAAGGTTGTCTCTTTGATTATAATACCTCTCGATCCGTTGCTTTTGAGCAGCCAATCGAACAAGGGCTGTTTCACGCCTTTAATCCAATATCTCCAGGCTCATATTCATGGCCTCTTTCATGCGTTCTTGTGATAGGAGATCAAAAGCAATTAAAGAGAATACTTTGTGTTCATTCAATGAAGCTGCTAAATTCAACGTCGACTTCATCGAATTTGATGTTCAGGTGAGATGATAACCCTCTAAATCATGCGTTTTTCAGACCATTTTTCACTCTTCTGTTTCCATTTTTTTAAAAAATTTAAATGTTGCTTTCGGTGGTTCAGAATTTTAAGCAAGAATTTTTTTACGTGTCAACACAACTTTGAGTAATTTAGCTTATTATTACAATGGCAGAGGCGTTGAGAATTATTTTTGATCCTTTTTGGAAAACTGTTGGAAACGACACGAGCCACCGCGTATACGTGGCAGGTGGTGTCCAATTTTGTCACAAAAACCTCTCGATTTACTTGGTCAAATAAGTAGTTTTCATATACAATTATTTACCGAATCTTTTAATTTTTGTAGATATTTTAGTCATCATAAAATTATAACGTATAATACTATTTATACTGTGACTAACATCCAAAACTCTATTACTTTTTTTGAAGAATTGATCGGGTCACACCACAATTTAGATGTTTTGATCTTTGTACTCCAATCTCATCATTTCATTTTTGTATCCGGAGTATTTATTTATTTATTTATCTATTTGAAGAGAAAGGCAAAAGCATAGATAGAACTTCAATCCTAAGATTCCTGGTTTCTTTGCTCGTGTTGATTTGTGTCCTTTACTAGATTTTCGATACCTAGGAAAATACAATTTTTATTTCTTTCTTATTACGCAGTGAATTACCTTTAACAAAAAGAAGAAAAAATCGTGGTCGTTTGTGTGTTCTTTTTGGGAATTGGAGATAACTTGTTTGGTATTGAATTGTCTGAGCTAAATATTTTCTTTCATTTTGTGTCTGGTTGTCTATTTTTCCTATGCATATTTGAATTCAATGAGGCACTGATTTTTTTCTTTCTCTTTTCAATTTGTTTTCCTCCTTTGGAAATCGGCCCTGGTTCTTGGTAGGTTTGCTTGCAAAATATAACGGGGCAAGCAAAGAACCATAGATGAAACTGTGTATCAAAATCTTTTTGTAGGTAACAAGAGATGGCCATCCAGTTATTTTCCATGATATCTTCATTCTTACACAAGAAGAGGTTGGTTACAGAAAATCCACTATAACCAATGCTTAAATATAATAACTTGAGGATGTCCTGACTCTTAATATGGACATTACAATTACTTTTCAGGGAAAGTTGATTGAGAAAAGAGTAACAGCTGGGTATTCTATCAGATTCTACTTCAATTGTTGCGAAGCCACTGGGATTCGAACATTGAGTCCTTGGGTGAAAGCTTGAACAACCCAATCATCAACGACCGGGTCCATCCGTTTCATTTGGAATCGAGACACAAATTCTCTGGGCATTTCATTATCCTTCTTACGTTAAAAAGGTCCGAGTTTCTGGTTTCAACTTGGATGGCCCCGGCGTGTGCCTTTACGAAAGAATCTGCAAGCATAGCAAATAAGTCAATAGAATTATGTGGTAAATTGTAGTACCATATCATAGCTCCCTTTGATAAAGTCTCTTCGAATTTCTTTAGAAAGACAAATTTGATCTCGTCATCCTCTAGATCATTCCCTTTGATAGCACATGTATAAGAGGTGACATGCTCGTTCGGATAGGTCGTTCCATTATATTTAGGAATCTTGGGCATGCAGAACTTCTTGGGGATCGGCTTGGGATTCGCGCTCGGGGGGAAAGGTTTTTGCACAAACTTTATGGAGTCCAGACCCTTCAATATCGGTGGTGCCCTCGGAATTTGATCGACCCTGAAGTTGTAAGTTTCTATCTTCTTGTCATTTGACTCAATCTTCTTTTCCCCCGACTCAATTCATTTTGTCACTTCTTCTAGCATCTTCATGATTCTTTCGAGTATTTGGTCTCCGAGCATCTTCGAGTATTTGGTCTCCAATTCTTTCTCCTTTGATTTCCTTGAAATCGATTCGTCCCTACGAACAACTTCCTGGGATGGCTCGGGCTCGATTATGCTCAGTGAGTGATTCTGGTTTTAGAGCTGGGCTATCGCTGCCTGTTGAGCCTGCAACATTTTGAAGATCACCCGCAGGCTGATCCCGCCATTCGCCGCCATGTGTGCTTTGAGCGATCCCAACAGACACTGCCCTTGGGATCGATGACCAAATTTGCATTGATGGTTACATGTGAGCTGACGTCAATTAGATCTACAACCGGATCGAGGTTGTAGGGGTGCTAACTGAGAGTTCGACATTTTGGTCCTAGACACAAAGGTACTCTAAAGAACAAGTGTAAAATATTGTGTGTTATGAAAGTTTGTACCAGGTAATCACTATTATCCTTAGCCTCACGACGAGTGCCAGACTGTTTACCCTCAAAATCTGATAACAATTGAATTTATATGCAGTTTTAAGAAAACGTAATATAACTTGATACAAATTAAGAAAAGAGATTAATATTGAAATTGATGATAAGAGAATAAATGCAAACTACACAAATTGAATAGCCTTGGCCTTTGAGTTTTATCACCCTCGACCAAGAAATGCCTCAACTGACGTAAGAACAGAATAACAAGATGATAAGAGTTAGAAATAACAATGTATTGCTTTTTGTTGCGTATTACAATATGTTTTACAAATGATCAAACCTCCCTTTATATAATAGGGGAGTCCCATTTTTGATAAAATTCTATAAAAAGTAACCAATCTCACGATTTGCTAATTAATCGGCCTCTCCTTGATACGTGCCGAGATTTTCACTGTGATCTTCAATTGATCCTAGATATTTCGGCCCTCCGTTATTTGGCTCAACAAAGTCCCCTGGATATTGTTCGGTCCTGGAGTCACGAGCTCAACGATTTAACTTCATGCCTTGGTTTGATATAACCCAGGTTCGAGCTCTGACCTGTTACATTTCAGCCTCGGCCTGTCATACAATGGACGAATCCGGTTTCAATCGTGTACAGTTATACTACAGCTCTCTCTAGAGTGGTGAGATTTATGTAGGGCAACGTTATATATATATCTTCTTCTTTACTTACGTGAGCACTAGTAGTCGTATTCTAATGGTTTAGATAATAAATGATTTCCAATTTGATTTGTCCCAATTATACATAAATTTATACTCCATCGTTCTGCCCCAAGAAAAGGGAAAAAGGAACTAAAAAAAGAAAAGCTTTAACAATATGTTCATTCAAGGAGTGAACTTACAGCGAGCTTAAACCAAATATAATATCGCGCATGCTCTGTTTTTATAGCAAATTTTGTTTAATAAGGCAGCATCTAAAATTCGAGTGGACTTTATTTTTCGTATTGAGAGAATTCTTGTATCAATTTCCTTAAAATGTTTTCTATTACACTGGAGGATTAGGAAAGAGAAAGAGAAAATAAAAACAATAAAAACTGAACTCACACTTATTTTTTGTGCAATTTCCATCAATACTGCTAAATAAACTGTACATCTTGTGCGGAACTTCTCTCGGTTGACCTTTGAAAAGAAGGTTCAACTAACCTAATTGACAAAATCAGCAAGCTTGGAAAAAGTTAGAGAATCATGTCGAAATCAAGAAGTTGAACTTATGACGACAAAGCTTCTATGTTTTGAGGACAACACTAGATTGGCGTTGACCTAAGTACGGCACTAACAACCAACAATAATTAAACTATAGACTATTACATTTGCCAAAAACTCATTGACCTTTTGTCACGTATGTTTCCAAACTCGTACGAAATTCTAGTGCTCCATAGTCCATCATCGTACCAGATTCCACTGTTACACAACTTTTTCTATGTTTTATTTCCACAAAATCATAGAATTTCCAGGGCTATTACTTATAGTGCTCTAATTATTTTCACATACAGGTGCCGATTGTTCGAACAATTGTTTGGAAGAACTTCTTGGAATAAAGTTTCTAGAGAAATTACTATCACGACCCGATTTTTAACTGAGTCATAATCAGTATTCGGTATCTCAACTCGATCGAATAGACCTTATAATATATTATTCAACTAAGTCGAGAAAGTATTTAAATCCAAAAGATATATCTTTCTTAAATTTTGAAATATAATCTGTGTTAATTTGAGTTCCCTCCTAAATTACTAAAGACCTTGATTCTTTACTCTACTACTTGTGCTTAAACATAATCTATAGAAAAGTAAAGAACAAGCAATTTATCTGTAACGATCCGACCGGTTATTTCAGGAGTCACAATTCTGTTTTCCCCGTTTCTGTTCTCTTTTGTGTTCTTCAGCTGTGTTTTATCGTATCATGTTGGTTGATTCGGGTCCGGAGTGGTTTTGGAGTGGAATGAGACACTTAGTCTCCTATTTAGAAGCTTAAGTTGGGAAAAGTCAATCGGATGCTGACTAATGTGTAAACGATCTCGGAATGGAATTCTGAGAGCTGGAGTAACTTCATAGTGTTATTTGTGACTTGTGGGCAAATTTTGAGGTTATTCGGACGCAATTTGATAAGTTTCGACATCGTTGTGGAATTTGGAGACTTAGAAGTCCTTAGGCTTGAATCCAAGTATGATTTGGTGTTTTGACGTTGTTTTGAGTAATTCGAGGGTTCCACAAAGTTTGAATGATGTTATGGGATGTGTTAGTATGTTCGGTTGAGGTCCCGAGGGCCTCGGGTGAGTTCTGAGTGGTTATCGGATCACTATTTGGCTTTGGGAGTTAGAAATACCTGATATGATATCTGGTATTTTGAAAGTTGCAGGTCTCGGAACATTAGGAAGTGCGACCGTGGTAGGAAATTCGCGGACCGCGGTGGAAGAATGCAGCCGCGGTAGATGTTCATGGACTACGATGAGGAGAGGAGGTCAGGTTGGCGGCCGCAATTAATTTCACGCGGACCGCAGCAGGTGAGGGTTGAGGTTTGCGGCCGCGATGGAAATTCTGGTAACCGCGGTAGTGGTTGCGCGGCCGTGGTGAGGAATGTGTGGACCGCGAAATGGAGGTTCACAGGGCACTATATAAGCGAGATTTAGGGTTTTATTTCACATTTTGGACTTTGGGAGCTCGGCTTGAGGCGAACTTTTGGGAGTTTTCAAGGAAATCATTGGGGTAAGCAATTCTAATATGGGTTTGGCTAATAATCATGAATATATCATTGATATCATCTTTTGATTAGTAATTTGGGAAAAAATTGTGAAACTTCATAAAAAGAACTTTTGGGATTTGAAAGTCGATTCGAAGTCGCAATTGAGTGAAACTAATATGGGTAGTCTCATAATTGAATGAGTTGTCGGATTTTATAACTTTTGTCGGATTTTGAGATGTGGGCCCGGGGCCTGACTATTGCGTTGACTTTTGGCCTTGTAATTAGCATTTTCTTATGAGATTGATTCCTTTAGCTCGTGTTGATTGTATCGAATTATTTATGGCTAGATTCGGAGCGTCCGGAGGTCGATTTGAGGGGCAAAAGCATCGCGGAGTAGGATTTTGGCTTGGTTGAGGTAAGTCAAAACCCCGAGCTATGTGCTATATGATTGTATTGAGGTGACGCACATGCCAAGTGACAGGCGCGTGGGCGTGCACCGTGAGGATTGTGGTCTGGTTCATTCCATGGCACTGCGTAGTGGCTCTTTCTTGCCAATATCCGTGTTTTATTATGTGACTAAGTTGATGAGCTGTAAATTACGCTAATAATCATGTTATGGCTTTACGCCGATACTGTTGAGACCCGAGTGGTCATTTCTTGCTGTCATCTCATTAGTTTTATTGATATTTTGTACTCAATCTTGTTCCTGCATATCATATCATGTCTCAGTCTCAGTTGTTATTATGTTGGAACATCATATCATTATTTCGGGCTAGTTTTCATGGCATTGTGATCCCGTGGGTGAGACTGGAGAGTGATGACTAAGAGAGGTCGAGAGCCTGATTATGAGTGACAGTTACGGGTCAAGCTGCACGCCATAGCAGATTGTTGATTATGCCTTCATTGGCTTGTTATAGCGCTTGGGACGTAGGATCCCCTCTGGAGTTTGCACACCCACAGTGGGCGCGGATGATATTATTGAGGGATGAATTTCCTTGGACATGGATTTGTCCAAAGTATTCATATATGGAGATAGATTTCTCCATAGGGTTGGGTTACCCTTTTTCCTCGGTACTGAGTGACGTCTAGTCATTGTTGAGTATGTTCCGGGATGGATTTCCCTGGGCTGAATGGCCATATGCGGTACCGAGTGGTTGAGTGTGTATAAATATATACCTAGAGATAGATTTCTACTCAGGGTTGGATTACCCTTGTTTCCTCGGTACTGGATGACTTGTAGTCAGCACTGTATTTGTTCTGGGATGGATTTCCTTGGGCCGGATGACCATATGCAGTACCGAGTGGTTGAGCTCTTGAGAGTGGGAGCACATGGTGCATTTCATACATTTTGTGTATTGACATGTAGAGATAGCTGAGCTTTATATCTTATATTGTTCAGATCTGTATTTATTTCACTGTTGAGTTGTATTCCTCAAAATAATAGCATGCTTACTTTACTGCATAGCTTATTTCTATTTTTTGTTGAGTTTACGTTTGTCACTACCTATTAGTCCATAGGTTGGACTTGTTACATTCTGAG